TTTAAATATAGTTTTAATTGTTTAGTTGAAACATTAATAGCAAATTCATATATAAATTACAATCAATATAATTTTAAAGCAATTAATCTAATGAATATAAAAACCAATAAATAATTAATTGTTTTTAAAGTTTGCTAAATACAATTGAATCGATAAAATGGTAAATTTATAACATTTTTAAATTCAAATATCTCGCAAAAAAATTAATATAAAATATGGTTTATGTTTTTAATATATTTTTAATTATTTAATAGAAATATAAGAACTTGTATCAAATTATTTCATACAAAATTTGTTTTTCACATAAATCTATACATTTAAATAATTACCAATATTTGTGCATAAAATAAATTAAAAATAATGAGAAGTAAATTATTTAACAATTTGTGATTTGGGTTTTTCGGGTAGTGTTGATGCGGTCGCTGTCGATGTCTCGGATCCGATGACTGTTCTCTGCATTTTAGTAATGATAAGCAGTAATATAAGACATATAATGAGGACAATAGCCAACACTAGTACAATGACTATAGTCAACATATTGCTAGACTCTTTGCAACCATTAAATGCAATCATTGTGTCACTAGATTTGCACTGAAAATACATTCAAAAAAACTATTGCTTTAATTCTTATCACATATTTGTGTTAAAATTAGTCTAAAACCTGTTCAGATATATTTAACCTCTCCGACCGATTCAAGCTTTCGGATGTAAAGCAATACATAGGCTGTCCATTAATGTTAAACCACAACATATGTCCAATCATTTCTTTGGTCACCACATAGTCGACAATACCCTCCAGTTTGGGCATCAATTTAACAGGTATTTGGTGGACAAACTCCGGGGGCTCGCACTGTCTGGACGGGCAGTACTTTCTAATTGACAACTGTAGTCCATTGTTCGCATAAATAGTCAACACTTGTGCCGATCTGTTCCCTGTGTCCCAAACAATGACATCGTTGTTGATGTGGTCGTTGTACACTGTCTGGACGGGCAGTACTTTCTAATTGACAACTGTAGTCCATTGTTCGCATAAATAGTCAACACTTGTGCCCTAGACAAGGGACACAGGGTTTGTTACTGTAGCAACAACTACACCAGCAATACTAACTGATGTCGCGACTTGTATTGAGGGGCATATAATATTCACTATAACAATTTTAATGCCCGGTCTGGTGGCCTCGTACACTTTGTCGCATAAGTGTCACCCTGGTCTATACTCTGGTTATAATATGTGATTAAACACTTGAACACAAGAACAATGTTATATACTACAAATAATTTACCTTGTTATTAGATTTAACGACAATAGTATAGCATTTATAAGCCTCGATCTTATTATTGACGGCCGTTAGACCTGAAAAGCTATTGACACGAATAGTCGACAAAAGTGAGGGTTTGATGTCTTCAACCATTGATCCAGTGATACTATGGGCTTCTAGTAACAACCGGTGGTAAAGATAGGACTTCAGGGTGAGAAACGGTAAACACATGTAAAACACCCAGCTATAGCTGCTTCTTGAGGTGAGAGACATATCAGACTACGGTAACATATTGCCGTTTGAATACATGTATTGACAAATGTCTGAACACTCCATGCAATGGATCCACAAAAACATGATTGAAATCAATAACATTTTGTTTAACTAAAAATGTTAAACGTTAAATGTTAAAAATGTCTTAATTATAATCTGTTTTTTGTTTAATTATTAACTCAAAGCGCTTAAATGAATGCTAATCACAAAGTATAGCGCAATTCAACAAATTAAGAGTTTATTATTATAAATAAATCTTTGAAATACTAAATACAATAAAAGTTTTGAATTTGACTTTAAATATCTCTAGAAAAAAATCTAAAATATGGTTTCATTGCATTTAGATATACTTTTAATTGTTAAATTGAAATATTATTAGCAAAATGCATGTATAAATTACAATCAATACAATGTAAAGCAAATTATTTGGCTATTTTTAATTGGTATTATTTGGGAGCTATTGTTGCGATCGATGTCTCGGTTGGGATCATATTTGTGCCCAAATTACTGACGCCAATCAGTATTAACGTTATACTCACTATAAGTAACACAATAGCCAACACTAATACAGCGATTATTGATGTTTTACTATTGATATACTTTTTGCAATCATTAAATGCGGTCATTCTGTAACTAAATTTGCACTAAAAAATACATACAAAATACAAATACATTAATTATTTTATATATTTAAATTTAAAATCATTAAAAAAACACCTGTAGCGAGAGGTTCACGCCTTTGGGTGTAAAGCAATACATGGGCTGTCCATTGATGTTAAACCACAACATATGACCCGCCGATTCGTTGGTCACCACGTAGTCGATAATACCTTCCAGTTTGGGCATCAATTCAACAGGTATTTGGCGGACAAACCCCGGGACCCGACATTGTTTAGACGGACACTCTTTCCTAATTGACAACACTAGCAATTTGTTCTCATAAATTGTCAACACTTGTGCCGATCTGTTCCCTGTGTCCCAAACAATGACATCGTTGTTGATGTGGTCGTTGTGATTGACTACAGCGCTGAACATAACTGCCCGCATACTATCAGTGATATTCTCAAAATTACGAGTTAGACCACCGGCCCTACACTCTGTAGTGTAATTTACACCCTGGTAGGTTCAATACGTAAAACGCTATGTTATTTACTATAAAAAATTTACCTTGGTTGTCTTTGTCGCGACAATAGTTGAACATTTATATGCGGCGAAGTCTAGATTGACAGACATTAGGCCTGAAAATCTGTTTACTATTGAAGGGTTGATTACTTCAACCATTGATCCGGTGATTGATACCCGAAGATCATTGTTGGCCACCATTTCTATCCTGAAGTCCCACTCTTTGCCATTTGTGTACATTTTGTGGGTCGATATCGGCGAAGAACTCCACTCTCTGTATAGTCTGATGCCATTGTATTTGCCGTTTGAATACATGTATTGACAAATGTCTGAACACTCGACGCAATGGATCCACAAAATTATGATTGAAATCAACAACATTTTGGTCTCAATTGTGATCTGAATTAATAGTTTAACGAAGTTTTGTTCAAATAAATGAATGGAATAAACGCTTTGAAATTAAATTGAAGTAAACAATAATTGCTTAGGAATTCAATTAATGTATTATTTCAATAGTAATACGATATTTAAATTCATGGATTGTTTTATAATTATGTAAAATGAAATTATTTATTTTGATACTGAAATTGTTTTTATATATTAAGATTTGTTATTTTTAATTAAATAAATTATAAGACAACTAATAAATGGTTTAATCTAGTTTTAAAAAATACCAGCATTAAAAACTAATATTTTAAAAGAAGTCAATATAAATAAATGCAAAATTATTTTCAATATAATTCAAACAATATTTAATTAAACGCCAAATATATTGTAATTATAAATGTAAAAATAATGTAAACCAATAATTTATAGTTAAATTACAACTAAAAAATGATTTAGATTTTTGATCACTATTGTACATACAAAAATTGAATCATTTTTATCATTTCAAAACTTAAATTATAATTATTATAAACTTGTTTCGGCTTTAATTGTTATGAAACGAGAAAATCAAATTTGAAATCCGGGCACAAAATATCAATTGACAAACAAAATAACGGACACATCGGGTGAAAGACAGACAGATCTTTGTGTCCAACAAAACCTAAACAGTTGTCAAATACTTATATCTATTTCCACAACAATCTGATGGCGGCGTTGAAGCGAATCCACAAAGAGTTGGAAGCGCTGCGCAAAGACCCGCCGCCGCGGTGTACGGCCGGACCCGTTGGCGACGACCCGTTCTCGTGGAGGGGCTCTATAGAGGGTCCGCCCGACTCGCCATACGAGGGCGGAGTGTTTGAGTTGACCATCAAATTCCCGCGCGATTACCCCTTCAAACCGCCGCACATTCGGCTCAAGACTCGCATATATCACCCGAACATCACTCCCGACGGACTCATATGTCTGGACACTCTGAAGAAGCAGTGGAGTTGTGCCCTCACTATCACCAAAGTGTTGCTCTCTATTCAGCAGCTCTTCTCCGACCCGAACCCGGAGGACCCACTCGTGCCCGACATCGCCAACCAATTCAAGACAAACCGACCGAAGTTTGATTCAATGGCCAAACTATGGACACAAAAGTACGCCAAACCCGGCGTTGAGCCCAACAGCTCCTCCTCTGTGGCCGACGACAGTCAAAGTGAGAGCTCTGGCAGTGAAAGCGATGGCCAGTAAAGTGATGGTCGGCTGGTTTTGGCGATGGCTTTCAATTGTTATTATTTTTCAGTAGATTTAGACTAAAATGTGTGAAAAGTTTGTTGTTTTTTGTATCAGAAAAAAATTAATTGAATGTCAGCTTATATTTTGTCTGACAATTGATTATTGAAAATAAATTTATGAATTGAATAGCATTTGGGAATTGTATTTATTTAATGTTTGACTCGTATTGTGTTTCCTGTAATTTGCATTCAATTTATTTGCATTTGTATTGAAATCTATGATAAGTTTATTTTGCTTTTCATTCAATAAAATTGAAATAAATTTGTTTTTGTTGTGTTTCCACAACTCGTATGACTTGTGCCTCGTATGTGACCACTGGTCGCCCCCAACAACCAGTCGGACTATCCCTTAACACTACCACCACTTTAAGACCTTTTAGAGGCTAAACATTATTGAAATTGTAGATAATTTTCATATCACAGTATATTTAGTAACATTTATAAATTTTAATTATTTCTATTCACGTTTTTATAACAATTACCACTTTTTAAATCACTTTATTAACAAATTTAACCGTTAATTACAAACAGTATTCAAAAGCAATTCAAACATTTCTGAAAAAGTAATTGAATATCTGATCCAAAGAGTAATGTCTGAAACTAATAACGAAAGCAGTGATGACACGAAGAGTATCACTGAATTGTTTATTATACGTAAAACCAGTCGTGAGGCCAGTCTTAAAGTCGAGGATCTGCTGAAGAAGAAGACAGAAGTGAGCGTTGGATTCAATGAACTAAACGACAGCTCAAAGCAAAGACACTTCAAACTCGACTTCGAGACCATCGACTGGTTGTCCATTGATATCACACGTGAGCTCTACTTTGACGGCAATCATCGCATGATTGACGAGAGACACGAAGAACTGAAGGCAATTATGGTCTACTTTCGTGACATTAAACGGCTATTTCTGGCAAATGTTGGACTGAGTTTTGAGACAATGGAGATATTTGTCAATCAGTGGCCACAACTCCACGAGCTCTACATCTACGACATCGATATTCACGGACCCATTGACGAGACAGCGATCGACCAATGGGTGGCCATTCTGTCCAAAATCACTCACTTAACAGTCGGCAAATTGAACGGACAATACGTGCCATTCATACTGAAAGTGATCAAAAGGTTGCCATCATTTACGTCGATAGAGGTCTGGCCTTTCCGTTCGGAGCACCTCTTGAGTCCACGCGAGCCGTCACTATCACAACTGGACACACATTTGCCCCAAAACATGGAGTGTATTCACTATTGGGTGACCACTTTCGACGCACAGGCCATCAGATCCATAGTATACAAGAATGTCTCCGACGACCTGCGAGACAGACAACTCGTTCAGAAATATCTTCGACTCCGGGAACTGGTCTTAAATGGCGGCCAAACCTATTCGGCCCAAGAGCTCAGCACATGGAACGTCTGTTTTGAGTTCATCACCGCTGGAATCAAGACTCTGGAGAGACTGGACATTGTTTTGGGCGATATGTCGGCCCAACTGTTTGCCAAATGTTTAGCAAGAGTTCAACGATTGAAGCACTTGAGAGTCAGCGCCACCGATAACTTTCGCGGCACTCCTGTCCTGTGTTTGGACACCATATCTATGAGAGCCGAAAATCCACGGCCGATGGTATCGCTGCACACACTGGAGATGTATGGCGTGAAGAGCTCTCCGAAACGGATGTCAGAATTGGCCCAAATCTGGCCAAACTTGAAGCGAGTGTCAGTCGACTCAATGAATTGGCACATGGATTGCAACGCCGGCTATAAATGCGATCAATGTATGGCTCAGTGCATGGCTTATGTGTCAAATCTGGAACACTTGGAAGACATGATCATTGTATACGACTTCTCCGACATTACGCTCAAGACATTGAATCTCTTCTCTGGATCTGCTGTCAAAAGTCTTAGCATTCATGCGGTGCTCCTGTCTTATGAAATCAAAGAACTGATCCAATTTATGACCCAAACTCTGGCCAATAGGGAAACAAAGTTTTACTTGAATTTGAAGTCTTGTGTTGAAAGAGAATTAATGGCACGAATGGAGACAATGAATGTCCAAATGCCAGACAATGTCATTGTTAAACATCTGGTCGACACTCAACCCTTTAATTGGAGACCAAATGAGTGGTAGAAATAGTTTTCTTTATACTCAACACTAATTTGTATTGAATATCATTTAAAACAATATTAATAAATAAAATACAAATACATTTGAATCTAATTTTTACAATTTTAACTATAAATTACTGTCAGAAATATTAATGACTACAAGTATTGTCTAAAATATTCATTACATACTTTGTATCGACAATTTAAAAAAAGTTTTTAAAACTATTAGTTTGTTTTAATTAAAGCATTAATTTAATTAAATCTATCCATAAATTAAATACATGATTAAACTTAACATGATCATTTGACATAACACTTAAACTTGATTACATAACCCATTCATATTCAGCGCCCATCGGCTACAACACTGTCATTACGTCAGGCAATAGGCGTTGCCATACATTGCCATACAATATATGATGCAATGGATGGCTGTGTTTACATGAGTACAATAAATGTACATGTACAATAATTATTATCATGTACAATTACAATGTAAATTACATACAATGCGTGCAATTGTTTAGTAAACGTTACGAAAACGAGTCAAACATTTATATATAAAACACGATCAAAAAAAGTGATCAAAACTATAAAACTTGACCACAAATTGAAGCATTCAATCAAAACCAGTGTTAAAATCAGTGCAACAAAACTTTTGTCGCAAACTTTAAACTTCACTTCACACGTGACCACACAAAACAAACACAACCCGATGGCCAACACCAGTAGATCCCAAGACACGCGACTAAGCAAAACATTATCATGGTTATGCAGACACGGTGCGATTGACCGTGGTCTCCCGATGGACCCCAACGGCTACGTCCCGGTGCAGCTCATGCTAGGCCTGCCTGAGTTCAAAGGGGTCACCGTTGGCGACATACGCCGGGTGGTCGACAACTGTGCCAAACAGCGTTTCACCATGGACACTCAAGATGGTGAGCTTAAGGTGAAAGCTAACCAGGGTCATAACAGGCGACTCGGCGCCCTATTGGCTGACAATCCGGCCGAAATGACCATGGTGACCGATGATGTGCTCGTCGCGGTGCACGGCACCTATTATAAGGCGTGGCCAGCCATCAGCAAACAGGGCCTCAAGTGTATGAGTCGAGTGCATATACACCTGACCCCCCATCTGGACCGGTGTATGCCTGTGGGCACCCGCGACCGCCCGGTCAGTGGCTTTCGCGCCAACTGTGAGCTCTTGGTATACGTGGACGTGAGGGCCGCCCAATCCGATGGTTATCTCTTTTATAGGTCCGAGAATAATGTGATTCTGACCCCCGGTGTGGACAATACACTGCCGGCCAAGTACTTCATCAAGGTGATTGATAGGCAAACTGGGAACGATATACTTAACAAAAGCTAGTGTTTATTTGTGATGTTTTTATGCCATTTATTTTATCCTAATTTATTTAATTAGTTTTTTTGGAAAGTTGTTTGTATTTGACCATGGTGATTGTTTTGTAATTAAGTTAAACACTGTTACATTTATACGAGCTTTAAATCATTAACACATATAATTACTATAACTCTAACTTTGATATCTCAAACTCATTAAAAACCTAAGCCATAAACTTATAACCAATTGTAAACAGGGTAATAAAAATATTAACCAAACATTGTAAACATAAATAATTTATTTGATATGTTGAATAAAACCTCACAATTAAAATGGATTGTAAAAATGGATGTGATGCGGCGATGATGATGGTCAATGAGCATGGTATATTTAATATGTGCTGATATTATTTGATGGTAAGTCGAGTATCTCTTTGAGTAGTGGACCGCAGAGTTCGGCCTTTAGTTCCCGAAAGTTTTGTTTATGCAATTCTCGCATCTCTTGAATCTCACGCAATATCTGCCATATTTTGGTGATCTTTGTCTCGCATTCCGAGCCATACCTCACCCGTAGGTATCTCTCGAGTAAATACAGGTATAATTGGTGTTGAAGTCTATTGTAGTTAAAAGTAGTTAATAATTAGTTACATAATAGTTATACAATGTTATCAATTACTTACTCGACACTATCTTTCTGTTCAATGTTTGGTCTCTCGGGATTGAACAACAGTATAGGCATTAACTATTGAATTGGATTATAAATTAATTATAATTTAATTAGAAATTTATAAATTATAATAAATAAACACATGATAATTACCAGTTCGAGTATATGCAGGTCTGAACACAAATCATTGGCAAATACTTCCGTAAACTCTTTCAACAGTCTATACATATTGAGTTTGAAGCCTTTAAACAGTTCCGACGTCAACACTAATGATTTGTTTTTGTCCTAAACATTAATTATTTACAAATTAGTTGTAATTAACATTGCAATTAAAACTACTATAATTACAAACCAGATCGACAATATAGGAGTCATTTTCATGACGATAAAATAAGCCAAACTTGAGCAATTGTATCTCGATGCAACTGTATTTGACCAAGGCGATCTGGTCGTTAAGACCCAGACTCTGGAAGGCCGACAACTGTTTGGTCTTCTCCACGAGTTTGATGACAGACTTATCAAAATTCCTGGCCGATATCTCCATCAACTGATCCTTGGAGTTGAGCACCACATGTATGAGCCGTTTGGGGCCCGGAATGTAGCGAAACATCTCCAGCGCCGAGAGTTCGGCCAATCGGCGGCACTCAAAACCCGTGAAACAGTTTGAATATATGAATGAATTCAATTGGTTTCGCAGCGATTCGGCGGCCATTCTGTGCATATAGTCTACGATATTCTCGTCGTTCACTTCCACGGGTTCTTCGGCGTCCATTGAGGCGATAATTGCCTCAATATGTTTCCGATTATCCACAGATAATCCAGTCTCGGAATCAGTTGTCGTGTCTGATAGTAGAGACAGTTGACTGTCTGTGTCCGTCCGAGTGATAATGTTCTCGAGTTCTGCGATGTAATCGCAGAGTTCTTCGTCGCCCACCACTGACTCTGCCATCGGTTCTGTCTCTATCTCGACGGCCACCAATTCGGCGGCCATTGATTCGTCATTTGATCCCTCAGACGATGGACTGAATGTCGATTCGGCGTTTGTCTTGATTTTATTCCTCTTATTCCTGCGGTTCTCTTCGATTTGAATCCTGCGAAACAACTTCTCCTCTTCGTTAAGAATCCATTCCTTCAATTAAATGATAAGATTTATGTAAAAATGTAATTAAAAGTAATTATAATTATAATAATTATAACACAAATGTAATTAACAATTAGTGAATTACTTTCTTCATCCCGACGTCGAAGCACTTCTTGAGCCGACATTTTTTGCACATTTTTCTCGTTATTTCATTGATAACACAATCGCCGCTAAAACGACACTTGAATTTCTACCAAGAGTTTTAAAATATGTAGCATTTAATTAATTATTATTAATTAACTATTAGTTAATATAATACATAGATTATAATTATTAGCAATTTATACCTCAATATTATAAGCGTTTCTCCTGAAGAATGCTTTACACGACTGACAGGTGATGGCACAGAAATTATAACCTAGAGTAGATTTAATTAAATTAAATAATATAAAATATTACAAATTCAAACACATACCCTGAGCCTTTTCACCACAAACCGCGCATAGACGGCCTTTATCCATTTTACAACACTCAAATTAACCACGATCACTTCTAAATAGCAAAAAACAAAATACATTTTAAAATATAATTCCTAATCAATAACAATTAAATGGAAAATTTAAATATTATAAATACTAATTTACCACAAGTCTCTAGTGCGATATTAATAAAACCATTGCTAAGTTAAACCATAGATTATAATGTATTTTTAAGCCCACAATTGCACTAACTTAAAGTAACAACAAGTATAAGCAAACTTATAATGTATATAATTGTATAGTAATCTGAAGTAACGTTAGAAATGGCATTAATTGCTATTTGCGATCAAATCTAATCACTAGTTGTGTATAATTATAGTCATTGTTTTGGAACCAATCAGAGTAAACATTTTCAATGTCTTCGTGTAATTAAATGTTATAAAAGTAATAAATATAATGTTGAATAAAAATAAAAGGTAAATGTAAACTACAATATAATTAAAAACATTAAATTATTAGAACTAAAATTGTGAAGTTATAAATATATCTGTATAAATGACTACACGATTAAAGTTATCAATTATTAATTGCTATAATAACGAGATAATTGTCTCAAATAAATATTTGTTACTTATATTGCACTTTAGATCTTGCATTGCATAATATGTACTATGTTGAGAGCAATTATGCTAGTGCAATTAGCCAGTGTAAAAAACGTGTATATAGCCATTATAATTATAAATACTTGTATTTTAAGTAGAAAATAATAAACAATGTCATTAATATTTAAACCAATAAATTACCTAGATTACTTTATTCTATTATAAGCTAAAAATATTCCGATATAGCAATTGTATAATTCATTTAAATAAATAATTTTAACAATTAACAGAATTATCGTTACAATTAGCAATTATGTTAACTTGTTGGTTTGATAGTTTCACTTTATTAACTAACTTACTATACTCTTATTATTCAGTATTACAGTATGGCTTAACGTGATCATTATTATTATACTATTGTATTAATTAGTTAATTCAGATGACATTAATTATTGTTAATAAAGTACAAACCGGTGGTCTACTTCCTCCGCAGCCATTGTCTCATTTTATGTCTCCATTTAATGCCTTATTAAAAACAATGTAATAATTTATATCATTATTAAATATGTATTTATTAAACCATAAATATTAAAAATAATTTACAATTATAATTACATCTTGTTTATATTTTGTGGACATGTTTCTTATGGAGCCGAACATTAGGCGCATAGTGTGTCCTAAACTCACATTCAGGCCAATCGCAGGCATACGGCTTGACGTTGTTGTGGACATTCATGTGGTCAGTGAGCGTAGGTTTAGAAGCAAACTCTTTGCCACATTCAGGCCATAAACACGCGAACAGTTTTTTTATTATTATGGCCGCCGCCGGTGTGCACATACTTTTTATGGGTATAAACACTGGTCGGGTTGGCTGACCTGAACTCACATTCCGGCCAATCGCACGCAAAGGGCTTAACATTTTTGTGGACATTTATGTGATATTTGAGTGTTTGCTTATGAGTAAACTGTTTACCACATTCAGGCCAATCGCACGGGTATTGTATCGGCCCGTTGTCGACCCATTTGTGTCCAGACATTTTGTGGACTTGTATTAGATGTTTGCTAATATTCGGTAAATGACCGGTTCTGTACTCACACGCGGGCCAATCACACGCGTATGGCTTCACGTTATTGTGACCATTCATATGATATTTAAGCACGTCTTTAGTGGTAAACCGTTTGCCACATTCTGGCCAATCGCAGCCGAATGGCCGCACGTTGTTGTGTTTATTAGTGTGAAGATTGAGTTGAGGTTTAGTGACAAACCGTTGGCCACAATCGGGTAAATCGCACGCAAATGGCTTAATATTGTTGTGTCTATTTGTGTGAATTTTGAGCCCACTTTTAGTGTTAAACCTTTTGCCACATTGTGGCCAATGGCACGCGTGTGGCCTCACACTGTTGTGGACCAGTTTATGACTACTCAGATTGGGTCCCATATACTGACATCCGGGCCATTGGCAGCGCTTTATTTCATTGTATGTTTTGGCCGTCAGTTTGACAACAGGTGCCGACGACTGGCTCTTAATATCACTCAATGCCTTCGACAGCCGGTGTTGTTGTAAGTGTGTCCTCACGTGTTGTGTAAAATCAGTTTTACAACTGGTCTTGAATTGACACCAATGGCGTTGACAACGAAAGTGTGAGATAAATGTCTCGCTTTTTCTCAGACAACACTTTCGTTGGCATTGTTTTGATGGCATTTCGGACAACGGCTGGCTTTTAACATCACTTAATGCCTTCAGAACCAGTTTGTAATCGTCGGCTGAGTGTATGAATATCACGTGTTGTGTTAAATCTGGTTTATAACTCGTTTTGTATTGACACCCATTGTGTAGACAACGAAACTCTGTCTCTGTTTTGTGCGATAAGTGTCGGATAAATGTCTCGCCTTTTCTCAAGACTTGACTGCCATTCAGACAACACTTTTGATTGCTTTTAGATATCAATTGTTTTGATGGCATTTCCATCGAGTCTTCACTACTCTTCCCATTCATTAATTGGTGTTTTTGTTTGTCTTTATTTACCATCTCTTGTGATGACTGAGATGTCGATGGCTTTGAAGTGGTGTTCAATATTGTCTGTATTCCTGTATTCATCGGTTCCACACAATTATCTTCGGGTTCTTGTTTGACATCTGATCCCAACTCGAGATCATTCATGTGTTGATCCAAGTGTTGAAACAAATGCTGTTTTGATGTGAATATCATCTGACAGTCAGTGACTCCACACCTGAAGACTGGGCTCTCAAACACGTGTTGGTTGTTGTCATCCATTGTTGGATCACTTCTTGTGTTTCATCTAATTATTGATCATTTGATGGACTCTTCAGTTGAAACTCATATTAAGTGCAAAACTAAACAACAATTGAATCAAAAAATGTAAACAAAAAAAAATTCAATTCAATAGAGATGTGAAGGAAATGTCTATAAATTACGTAAACAATTATTTTTACAAATTGTTATACATTTCAATACAAAGTTTTAATTATCGGTAATTATATCAAGAATTCAAAGAAATACAGTATTTATATAAAAATTGAATCAAATATTCAAATGATTATTATTATTGTTAATGGCATTTAACCAGTGATCAACTCAACTGATCCCTACTTCCGCAGCCATCGTCTCATTTTAATACCATTTATGCCTTCATTTAATTAATACAATGCTATAAATTAATTATTATTAAATGCTAGTAATTATACAATTAATAAATTTTGAATAATTAAAATATAAATATTGAAAATTAAATACAATTATAATTACAATTTGATTTATATTTTGTGGACATGTCTTTTATGGAGCCGAATATTAGGCGCATAGTGTGTCCTAAACCCACATTCAGGCCAATCGCAGGCATACGGCTTGACGTTGTTGTGGACATTCATGTGGTCAGTGAGCGTCGGTTTGGAGGCAAACTGTTTACCACATTCAGGCCATAAACACGCGAACAGTTTCTTATTTTTATGGGCGCCGCCGCCGGTGTGCACATACTTATGGATAGTAAGACTATTCGGATTGCCTGACCTGTACTCACATTCAGGCCAATCGCATGCATAGGGCTTAACATTTTTGTGGACATTCATGTGATACCGGAGTGTTTGCTTATGACTAAACTGTTTACCACATTCAGGCCAATCGCACGGGTATTGTATCGTCCCGTTGTCGACCCATTTGTGTCCAGACATTTTGTGAGCCTGTAGTGTATGTACCCAAACATTAGGACGAGACGCGGTTCTGTACTCACACGCGGGCCAATCACACGCGTATGGCTTCACGTTATTGTGAATATTCACGTGATATCTAAGCAGAGCTTTAGTGGTAAACCGTTTGCCACATTCGGGCCAATCACAGCCGAATGGCCGGACGTTGTTGTGCCTATTAGTGTGAACATTGAGTTTGGATTTAGTGACAAACCGTTGGCCACAATCGGGTAAATCACACGCAAATGGCTTAATATTGTTGTGTCTATTTGTGTGGATTTTGAGCCCACTTTTAGTGTTAAACCGTTGACCACATTGTGGCCAATCGCACGCGTGTGGCCTCACTTTGTTGTGAACCCGTTTATGATTACTCAGATTGCGTCCCATATACTGACATCCGGGCCATTGGCAGCGCTTTATGTATTTTTTGACCGACAGTTTGACAACAGGTGCCGACGGCTGGCGTTTAAGATCACTCAATGTCTTCAATGCCAGATTGTAAGCGTCGACTTCGTGTGCCCTCACGTGTTGTGTTAAATCATTTTTAGAAAAGCCTTTGTATTGACACCCATTGTATAGACAA